CATTAACTATTAACAAAAATGAAGCTTATTTGTACATCACTCAGCTGAAGATGCTCAAATAATCTCTGAATTGGTGCTGACACTGTCCTTCCTTGTGGAGAGTGGCTACTTTTCTTCCCCATGGTCCCTGTGTGTGTTGTAAAGAAGCCATTGCTCCAAGCTCGCTCCCGTGATGGACTACCATCTCAAGTTTAGTTTACTAATTTGTATTGAGATTGTAGTCCATCACAGAAGTGAGCTTGGAGCGGTGACTACTTCACAACACACACACAGGGACCATGGGGAAGAAAAGTAGCCACCCTCCAGAAGGAAGGACAGTGTCAGCATAAATTCAGAGATGATTTGAGGATCTACAGCTGAGTGATACACAAATAAGATACAGCATTGTTAATAGTTAGGGTACTTGAATGTATTTTTAAGATTTAACGCCTGAGTTTAGTATCAATATAAATCTTCATTGACCTTCAATCTCTGCAGCTGACGCAGATTCACCGTTTTACTAACTGCAGTACCAAAACCATTGAATGACCTTCAGATGTGCTTAGAATCTACTGCATTGTATAATCACTTTTATAGAAGTATCATATGATATTTGGCCTATTTTGCACCATCTGTTTTTAGTCTTTTTGGATGTGTTGTAAGTCCAGAAGCTGATACAAACTCTCTACGGTTTTACATGTCCTATGTTGCTTCCTATCTGTAGAGTGCTCTAGGCTTGCCGTATTGAGACGTTGATAATTACTCCAGTCATATGTGGGACCTGGCCAGGTTTCGTGCATAACAGCATAGAGTCTGGTTCAAACACGGCTATAGATTTTCTGGGTTATTGCTCTGGGGTTAGCAGCTTCAGGCTTGGAGAATTGGAGAGTCAGCTTTCACATTTTTTTCTACTTTTGCCTGAAGGTGCTGTCAAGTGTAACGCGTCATTATTGAGATGAGTGGAATCACTAGACATAGTTTTTCAAAACATTGGGTGTCCATTTCATAGCCATTGTTATTGGAACATTTACTTCTTTCAGCGGGACTTGCAGTTGTTTTTAGAAGATGTTTATATGGCGACCATAACTTCTCACAGGCAACATATGATAGGTTCAGAATGGTACCATGGTATCCTTATTAATGTGGTTATTGGTCAATTGCAGAGGTGGATAAATGAACCTGAAATTCAGGATCCAGTCTGTTCAATCCAGAATCCAGCAGGATTTTTTTGGAGCCAGCTCCATTGATAACAACTAAAAAAATTCTCAAAAGTTAGACGCCAGCTGTCAAATTTTAGGAGCTACCTGGCTTCTGGGATTTGGTCCAGCCCATGTTAATATACTGACCACTCCTGTAGATGGTAATATACTGACCGCTCTAGAAGACCACTGCAAAATCTAGTCCCCCTACTACACGGGTAGGCAACCTCGGCACTCCAGCTCTGGTGAAAGTACGAATCCCATCATGCCTCTGGGAGTCATACCTGTGGGGGTCAGTCTTCCAGTGCCTCATGGGACTTGTAGTTCCTCAATATTTGGAGTGCCCACCCCTGCCCTACTCTATCAGTTGTTGCTGTTATGTGGCAGTCACTAAAAATGTGCTGTAGTTCTATGCCCAGCATATTTGCAGCTCTTCACCTATCTGCTTGCATTGCATTGTTTTCAGGAATTAACATTTCCAGCGAAGTTGTACTTTCTCTAACACTAAATGGATAAGTGATCTCAATTAGGTTTGTTCTGATCATAGGGGCTTAGAGCAGGGGTGGACCAATTTAATATGAGTTTCTTGAGCCAGTCTGTCCAATCCGAGAGTCAACAGGGTTTTATTTTAGGAGCCAGCTGTATTGACGATAACTAACCAAAATCTTAAAGATTAGGCGCCAGCTGTAATTTTTAAGGAATATTGGCTATCTGGGTCCTGGGATTTGTGCAGCCCTGACTTAGGGATAGAAAGTAAAGGGACATTGGGATTCTAGGATTGTCATGGTGGTAATTTTTAGAGTGAAACTCCACACAAACCTTTTGTTTTGGATAGGGAAGGGATAGAACCTTTGCCAGCTTTTTATTGCTATCCTTGTCCCCATTGGGTAAAATTGAACTTTCTTAATGTCTTGGTGACAGTGGTCATCAGGCATTGCTGTCTGCATCACTATTGGGGACATATTTGGGGATCAGTAGGACAGTGAAAAAGATTTGTTAGAAAAAAAAATCAATGTAATGAAAATTGTAGCTATTGCCCCCAACAATCAGCCAAATTCTGGCTGTCATTTTTACATTGTCGGAGATATGTTGTAGCTGTTCAGCCACACAAGTACCAAATCTTCATACAATTGTTTATACTTGCTTATCACAAAGCTTAGTTGTTCCTAGTTGAACAGCAGCATACTTATTTTTTCACTAGAACCTTTTTGTCAAAGAAAAGCTCCCAGATGAAGTCTCCCCTCTTGTAATAGGCACATAAGTTGTCAACGAGGGAAACAGACATAAGGCCGGTTTGCTGCATAGACCCATAGACAGACCTGACCAATTTCTTATTGTACAAAATGGGAGCAGTTCATATGAAAAGATTTTTGTAATATCTCCAGAACAGGAGATAGGGAAAAAAAAACTTTTCTAAGATCCTTGACCTGGTTTTTCACTTAAAGCGCTTGATGTTGAGTGTACGGTTTCTGGAAAATAAATATAGGTGATGTTTTCTAGAAAGCTTGCAGAGATTATCTCTCATAAGGCATTGTAATATTTAGCATAATTCCTCTTGGTGCCTTTTAACAAGCTCTGAGAATAGATACGTGTTCTAGAAAGCGGACGCTGAAGTGGTGTAATAACTATTTCCTATGGGAGTACGTGTAGAAAATGAACAGGTATAATTACTGCACTGCAGTAAAACCTCAGGTAAGGTTTATGTTTTATTTCCAGTTTATGGAGACCGCATTTACAAAAACACATTCAAATCTGATTATTAGAAATGCTAAACTAAACAGCGGGAGTTTCCTAAATGTTTATTTAAATGCGATTGTTATTGCTGCTCTTGTTGGCTGTAAATAGACTTCTATTATTATAAACTGTCTACTAATGTAATTATCATTCCCAATTTAACATCACGCAAAGACTGGGCCATGGGGTCCAACTCCAGATGGAACTTGGGTGGCGCATTATGTGGCCATACACATGGACAAATCTGTACAATCTGGTCCCTTGGTTTTTTTTCTCCAGGAGATTGATTCAAAGGCATGATAATATCATATGCTTGCTGGTGCAGTGATCCTGCAACTCAGTTTTCTATTTCATCAGAGTAGAAGTCAACTGAATTATTGATAACTTATATGTGCATAGACACTTTAACGTGTATCTAAAGCCAAAACCATTTTTTGGGGGATAGAGTAGGAAATGCTTTCAACTCCTTTCTCCTATTGGGGAGATTTCCCTTCATTTCCTGTCATGTAGACACAACATGAAGTAAGAGGAAAAACATGACAGGAATTCTAATAACTTGTCACTGTATCCAAAGCTAAAAAAAAATAAGTTTTGGCTTTAGTCATGCTTTAAGTTTTCAGCTTTTCCATGCGATATATTTAAAACGGAACTCTGGCATTCAAAAAAATGTGCACCATACATTATTATTATTATACAGGATTTATATAACGCCACCAGTTTGCGCAGCACTTTACAAAATGGGAGAGACAGTACAGTTACAATACAATTTTAGTACAATAGGTACAGTACATCGAAAAGCTTCTGAAGCACAGAAATCGAAATCTGCACCGTTTATAAGAAGTATAACTTAGACTGCGGCTTGATGTCATCACTCCCATTGATAAAAAGCAGTTAGGGCCATACATAAAGAGAAGGTATCATGGAGGCACATATGTCACATTCGCTAACTGTGCAGGGCTGCTAGGAGAAACCACAGTTACCATCATCAATGGGAATTGTAGTTGGGAATGTGCAGAAAGGGGGACAGGTATGGGTGTGACAGACCAGAAGACTTCTGACTTGTGAGTCATCGCATTAGGTCATGGTGGGCAGGACAGACCAGTAGTCTCCTGGCATGTCAATCATTTGCACATATATGCAGTATAAACAGTTCTATTTATTTCATTCAACTGGCGTGCTGAATTAAAAAAATAGAACAGATTCCTCTGTCAATGCTTAAAATTGTATTGTCACACTACAAAGGGAATAGTATAGGACTGGTGGCTGGGGAAATAGTGGCTATAGCAGCTACCAGTTGTCATAAAAGGAAATGCAGGGGACTGAGACCTAATTACTAAATAATCAAATTGTGATTGCTCTGTAGATGCTTACCTCTGAACCAAAACCTGATCATGCTGCACAAAAGTAAAAAATAAAATAATGTTTAGTAACTTAGAAAACCATTCTGCCAAGAGTTAAGCTTTCAACATTGAGAACTCAGTTCACCCAATGTGATGCTTATATGTCTTGGGTACTCCAACAATGAGATAACCCACCTATAGCTGTCAATTTCATCAAAAACAGCTACCAAAAACTGAAATATCAGCTTTGGTTGGGCTGACCCTTTCATGTACTTTCTAACAATAGTGACATAATGGGGGAAAACAAAAGGCATTCTATACATTACAGTGGCACTTGAAGCTGCTGAATGGTAAAATCTGGTTGCTGTGGGTTAATGTATGTACAGTAATTGCTTTTGTCCTTTTTTTGGCCTTTTATTTAAAAATAATAAAACACTCAGCGGCATAAACTGTAGAATGGGGTTGGGTTGTTTCCGTATTGCTTGGAAAAATGAGTCGTGAGTATGTGAACTCCATAGATGTATAAAAAATTCAGTCAACATTCCATATGTACCTGAAGTGACAGGTATTTGTTTAGAGAGAACAAATGATGTCGTAATGTTTACTTCATCAAGGTGTACACTGTCACAGGTTGACCCTACGGCTACGGGCGGTGCAGACAGTATAAAAGCAGAAACGTGCTTCTACTCATTATTCAGTTCAGGCTATGAATGCTTTGTAGTAATTCAGTCACCGTTTTCCTTCACAGGTCTGCATAAATGGACACTGATATGGACTACGAACGACCCAATGTGGAAACCATAAAGTGTGTGGTCGTGGGAGACAATGCAGTGGGCAAGACACGGCTCATCTGCGCAAGGGCATGCAACACCACCTTAACGCAGTACCAACTCCTGGCCACCCATGTACCCACAGTATGGGCAATTGACCAGTACCGAGTCTGCCAAGAGGTAAGTAGTGTTGTGGCAAATGTTAAGATCTTTTGTGATTAGAAAGATTTCCTAGCTGACATAACTAAAGACAATTTTATTTTTAATTGAGTAGAGTGGTGAGGGAATGGACCGCTGTCAGATTTTTACTAATACCTCTCCCCATTACAGAGATTCACCCTCTGATTATCCTGATCTCTAATGTCTCCGGGTATAATATAAAAATTTTGAGCTGCCACCAGAACAGGAATCTTCTGAAGGGGATGCTTGTTCCTGTGACAACTCCCCTACTCTATAAAAATGGGGGGGAGTTGTCTTTTGATATACTTTAAAGGTGTCAAAAACAGTTACAGAAAATTTCCAGCTTGCCTAAAATCTTTTAACAATGTTCTAGTTGTTTGTCCTTCTAAACTGCAAGGTCTCCATAGCTCTCTAACATATACACACCTTTTGCTCTTTAATATATAGGGAATGCTTGACAGGGAAAATATATTGGCTTTATCTCATCTTGCCTATTCAATCATCTAATTGCACACATTTTGTCTGTCCTCATATCCTGTTACCAATGTATTATGTTTGAGCAAGCTGAAAAACGGAACTTAACTCAAAGACATAATTCTGCTCCTTTACTGTTTGCTTTTCTGTAATTGGACATCATTAAACTTTTCTTATATGCACATTTCCTACCAGGCTGATAACGTTGTATTTGCCAGAAACACCTAGTTGAGGATATTTTAAAGTTCTCCTTTAATGTGATAGAGTACTTGAAATGACCACACATGTGTTGTTGTCTTATCACCTCCTTAAGATGCCTTATTACATTTAATAAACTTCCGGGCACAGTTCATACTGCTGCTGGCTCTGTCTTTATAAGTTAGCCTTCCTAGAAGAATAGTTGTTCATGTCGCAGAGCACCTGTCAGTGTGTTTTTAGGGCAATAAAATTGAATATAAAATTATAAGTAGTGTTAAAATTCAATTTTCAAAAATTGTATGCGTACATTTACACCTGTGCAGAGGAAGTAGTATGTATATTATAAGAACTATAGAATTGTACTTGCATATTTGTATATTATCCTAATACTATACATTATATTATGATGAATGCACAAGTCCCTGTTAGAAGGCATACAAAGAATTGTAGTTCCTCAATAGAATGCATTGTAAAAAAAAAGTTGGTGATAATCAATATGCAAACACAATTCTGGTAGAACATAAAATATATCATAGTCTATTCAGTAAAAACAGAAAATAAACACAAAACTAGTTGGTAACCAATCAAGAATTTAGGGGGCTATTCACAAAAGGGTGAAGAGTTTGGAGAAGACAGGAGAAGTGAACAATCTAGACCAGAATAGCTGATTTGGAAAAATTCTCCAATTTAGCTCACTTTCTGGTTCAGCTATGTTGTCCTAGATGGTTCACTTCTCCTGCCTTCTCCAGACACTTCACCCTTTTGTGAATAGACCTGTATGACTGCTTGCTATCGGCAGCTGTTTCAATTTTGTGTACATCTTCTGTATTCTTAATTAATCCACCCCAGTAGGTCCATTAGGAGCACCTCTGGATTACTGTGAAAACGTAGTTTAGTGTTACTATACTGTATGTTCAGTGAATTGCTGCTTGAACATTCCATCAGTGACTCATTTACATGGGTGCTGCCTTACATTCAAACTGATATTGGCACACTGCCCCATTACATTTTATTGTAGCACTGACAATATGGCACAGCAGTGAACAGTTTACAGCAGCAGTTACTTAAGTCACATTGATTTTACTAAATGGGACAAGATGATAAGTGCACAAGGTTATGTAACAGAAGATAATCAGAATTATTATGTATTGTTTTAAATGCACATTTAAAAAAAAAAAAAAAGCTGAAACCTGATTGGTTAGTTATCCACATGACAGAACTTTATATCTTAAATATGTTTCAGTATTGGCCTCTGATGTTTGCTGCTCTTCCCCTTTATCCACAGTTACCATGTAGAGTTACAGTTACATAACAGTAAAGGATCAATTACAAAAATGGTGGTATACTGTAACAGATTTATGCTTGCTATACTGTATTCCACTGAGCTATGCATTGCACAAACTGAAATGTCTCAAGTGCGTTAATGAGTATTCCAAGATTCCTTGCAGTGTTGCTGTATTTTAGATTAAGAGGCCCTTTAATCTCCGCTTGCTAATATATAGCAGAAACTGCAAACTTGGAATGAATCGTTCATTAGCAGTCTGGGCATAGTGCACTTCAGCAAAGATTCTGTGATGTCACCTTAAATAGTGCACATGCTGCAGGATTATTAGACAAGCAGAGGTTGCTGCTGCAGTAAACCTGCATTTCTTATATTTATGGCTTTTCATTTAGGTCCTCGAGCGCTCCCGGGATGTAGTCGATGAAGTGAGTGTTTCGCTTAGGCTGTGGGACACCTTTGGAGACCATCACAAGGACAGACGTTTTGCCTATGGACGGTAAATGAATACTACTTGCCTTACGTAGCTAGCATGGTGAAACAAAGATTAATTTGACAATATCCAAAGGACAGCGACTTGTACAAGCATTAGCATTACAATGACTGGTATCCTATTTCACAAAGTATGCATGTCCTTCTGAAAATACCGTGAACTGCCATTTAGCACAGTTTGGCATGACCGGAACATAGAATTCCTATAATGCCTTTAATCCTTTATAAGGTTGATAAAGCAACCATTGTCATTATCGTTCGTGTATAACCATTGTCTTCATCATCATCCCTTTAAGACCATCATTGTCATAAGAAGGCTTTAAAAAATATACTACTTCTCACACTTTACTACTCAACAGTAAAGTTAACCACATAGACATTAGATGGTAGCCAGACTTTTAGGCACCTACCATACATTCCATAATAATGTATGAATGTACTGCTGATGCCTGCTAGCTCATGTACTGAAAGATAGAAAATAGATCCCACTGACATTAGTCTTATCTTGGGAGAGTATGCAACTTTGCAGATTGACTATAATCTTTAAAATGAGTGGTTAGTGTTATTTACTGGTGTACAGAATCATAACCACCATGATGCAACCCATCCAAAATTGGCAAGTTCATGAGACAACTATCAAGTGTCTGAAGGTGCTTTAAAGGACAACTGTCACCAGAGACGTATGTGGGCAGTCATTGCCGACACCCTTCTAAAATGCTAATTGCCTGTCTGGTATGCTCAAAGTACCTTAATCCTTTGAGTCACTAATAAAGTCATTATGATTAGGAAAGCCAAGTCCGAAACCCCATAGCTGTATGCCAGATTGGTGAATCAAAGCATTGAGGGCAGTGGGTTAGCATGGCAGGCAAGCATCTAGAATCTTCAGAAAGAGAGATCAGCATTGGTAGCCTCCATGTTTCCCACCTGACAGGTTTTCATTAAGGTGTTGCAGTAATCCGATTTCTTTGTTTTTAAAAAAAAACAAAGCCGTTTATAAGCAGCACTAATTGTAGATGATCACCATGTAATGACAGTGATTGCCAGTTGGGAACTGATATGCTTTGCAGCTTGGTTACAGCCCAATAGAGTGTTTTACACTGAGTCTAAATATTTTGTGTTTAAAATAAATAGAGAGTAATTGACTCTACAGTTTTTTAAGATGCTAAGCTTAAGCAACAAAGCTCAAGGTTTTATTACTGTTTGACAAATTAAAAGAAAAAAATGATCAATTGGTACAGGTTTGCTCTCAAAGGGCATGTTGACATGCATTTTCCTATGTATTACAATGGTAATGTATACTGATCCTAGAATTATGTGTGGCGTCATGGCGTCCTGTAGCTCGGTTTAGAATGCACGAGGGATGCAAACTGACCACACCAAACAGATATGCTTCTGTGCTTCGCATGGTCAGAATGCTTCAGCAGGGGAATCGGTAGGATCACCAAGTATTTGCTGCTGAAAAGGAATCTTACCGAAAAGATGTACAAGACTTATTATCGACATAGGAATGGATTAATGGTATCTCGGTAATCAAACACTTTAAATTTAGTTTACTTCTACACATAAAGGAGGTCAACCCAGAAAGGTAGTCTACACTATGGCAGATGTTATGAAAACAATGAATGGGCTTCGGATTCACTTGTGTTATGGAAACACTTACACAATCACATGATAAATTCCTCAGCTACAGCCTAGGGCAGACTAAATCTATTCTGTTCTAGAAAATTCATGTTTTTTTTCCAAAGGCAACTGTGTGTTGTCCTTCTCTTTGCTGAATTATAATGCCCCTGTTTAAGTGTTTAGTGGACAATGTCATCAATGCAGTCCAGAGGAAGCCATTTTGTTAGCTACAGATTATGATAACATCAAAGTCTGTCAGGGACTTCCATGAGGAAGTCTGAGGGCTGGAAAGAAAGCTGCAATATTTATTATTTTTTTTACTTAAATTCTCTATTACAATGACCTGGAACTCTCTCTGGCTAGCAGGCCATTCAGAGGAATTCTGCCCAGACTCCAACGTGCAATGTTAGCAGACTTTACATTAAAGTGACATTAAACCCTCAGATTTTTTAACATAAACCAATACTGTAATGTGTGCCTTACTGTAATCTATAGTAGTTTGCCTTCTCTTTGCTGCTCTTCCTTTTAAATCTGTATCTCTTCGCATGCTTGGGGAGAACTTCCCTTTGCAGCTGAGTGCCTCTTCCTGTAGTGCTGGCTCAGGTTGCAAACCTACACACAGACACCATGTATCCATTTCAGAGACAAGGCAGTCTGCTGCAAAACAGAAGTTCTGCCCAGCATGAGAAGAGATACAGATTTAAAAGGAAGAGCAGCAAAGAGAAGGGAAACTACCATGGATTACAGTAAGGCGCACATTACAGTATTGTTTTATGTTAAAAAATCTGAGGGTTTAATGTCACTTTAAGTGTTTAAACCCTGCCAGCTTTTTTTGTTGTCTGTGTACCAGTGATGACATTCCCTTTCACTTTCTATGTTGGAGACCCAACAGGAACTTAGTAGAAGGCTGCCAATGTGAGGGGAATTCCCCTTTTACACCGCTGTCCCCAAAACAGGTTTCCGCATTAGAAAATGTCCTCTTATCTCTTGTTCTGGGAACTTTAGATTTCTACTCACGTTTTTTTTTCGGTGACAATAGTCACTAGTACAAATAGCGGGTTGAATCCCCCAAACAGGAACGCAGATTGCGATAATAACTTGATAGAGGGCATAACACTTCTCCACTGTATCCAAAGCTATAAATAAAGGTTTTGCCTAGAGGTGCACTTTAAAGGGAGAGCTCTGTGTGTGTTGCCTAATTCAACCGATCACATTTTTCCTTCCTTGCAAAATTCACATTGACTGGTTCTTATGAGCAACACAGACTTTTCTTGTTTCAGCCCCTTTATAGATAGTCATGTTATTACTGAGCTCTTAGCTTGAAGTGAGTGATCATAACAGATATCCAGCCTACATATTCACCAGGCAACGCAGATATCACTGGGGAACCACAGTGACATCACTGGCACCTAGAGATTTGATAGACTGCTATCTCTAAATCCTTCACCAAGCAAATAAAACGTGGATTTTGGCTGAGTCTGTGTGCCAGGTACCCTTTGAGGTTAATTCTTCCAGCATCAAATCCATGCCACCTGTCTTCAGACCCTAGTCTACTTATGTCGAGGGTCACTAGCTGGAATAAGTCTTGCAAGTAATCTGTTGACAGCAGGCTGTCCCCAAGAAGGGTCGCGTTCCTCGAATACACACACAGATTTAATTACTTAACAGTGTATACTTAGGATTAAATATAGGCTGGAATCTACGTGCAGAAATGCAGGGCAGCTCCCACTAGCAGGTGCTTCATATCCTCTAGGACAAATAAGGCTATGTAAATAAAAATATATTATATGACAAGCCACCCCCCAGCTTTCATGGGCTAGCTTCAATATGCATGGACTTTATGACTAGAGCATAACTAAATGTGCTTTCTGATGATCTTACAGCTTGTTGCATATTTCAAAGCAGCATTTAATGCATTTATAAGGATTCTATCCGAAAAAGATTCGGACGATACTATGGTCATCCTGTTTTTAAAAATGTAAAGGAATATTGGAGCTTAAAATCTTCCTATGCTCCTTGACTCCAGCTAGTGGCAGTAGTAATCGCGGAACTATATGCTGGGCGGAAGATTTATAAATCCGCCCCTAAGGGTCAAAATAAAGAAACTACTGTGTTGTCCATATCATCTAATCCAATTGCTCCTTAATTATAAAAAGTGTCAATTGCTTCTTAATCCGTTACTGTGGGAAACCACGTTTTCTACATAAAATCTGGAATAATTGGCATAATCTGCATCGTAATTGTTGCTGAACTACATCCTAGGCTAAGACTTGTAATTAGGCTTCAAGGGTAGGCTTCAAGCCCCTCTACCTAAACTTCGCCATGCTTGCATCTCTGTTTGTTCCCCAAATTATCAGAAATTGGCATTTTTGCTCCTCTTCAGCTGAACTAAAGAAGTCCTTTGCAAAAATGGAGATTTCTGTGGCATAGTCTACATTTTGTTTAGTGTTAGCATCTGTATGGTTAGTGGCCTGCACATACAGTATGGTTTCAGCTGCCGGTCTATGTAGGCATATATGTGGAGTAATGTGGTAAACTATTGTTAAAGAGGCTACAGCTATTTCCCAATTAATTTTGTACTTATCAACCCTATTGTCATCTTTCTACTTTTCATTTGTTATGATAATCCTTCTTGGTGTGGTGATTGATTGGAATAGATTGAGATATTTATGTATCCTATTAATAGACCAAGTACACTTGAAATCACATGAGCTTCAGAATTGTATACATGCTGTGAGCAGCTTTGCAGAAGCTTGTTCACAAAGTAGGGTTTTAAGTGTTAAGTGATTTGCACCCACTTGCCATGTGTGGTTTGGCACAGGCTCTAAGAGCAGTCCTTCACCGGCTTTCATCAGATGTGGCTGGTGCATATTTGTGTATGAAACACGTCACCTGCCACTGTCACTTCTGTCAATGCCTGCACGGTTAGAGAAGCAAGACATCATTGGCCTAGAATACATTGCAGGTTATTAGCAGATTGCTTTACAATGGTAAACTTTTATGGATTCATTGGGTTTCTGCATGGAAAGTTTTACAACAATTTTTTAATTTATGGCAGTGTTATATATTAATGTGTGTAACAGCTAAAGTAATAAATTATATCTTGTCACGCGATAATCACGTTTTACGGAGGCTATAAGATTGTGGAAGTACTGGAGGTCAGTATAAAATATATCAATTCTCTGTATAGATCATTTAACAAAATTATATAAAGTTTACAAGTATACTTTACATGTGTACTGGGGACATATACATGTACTGGGGAATACACTGCCATAGCTGAATTATCTTACTATAAATGCCAAGCATCTGGCTGTCTTTATGATCCAGTGGCTTCAGTACTTCTGAGTCACTGGCCTGGAACAAGTATGCAGTACAGTATTACTGTAGTCAGGTGGCAAATAGTATGGGGACAGCACTGGGTAAACATTTTAGACTGATTCAGTTAATCTACATGGTAAGCCAGACATTACTTTAAGCAGAACTAGTACAGGCTTTATGTATTTTGAACTTTCTCCCCAATGTAACAAAAAGCCTTGTTTAATAACTTCCCTTACCCCTGCTGTGGGCTCCCTCCAATTATTTTTACCAGGATAGAGTCCCAGTGTGAAGAGCTTGGGGGCTTCTCTACAGTCCATGATTGGCTGCTCAGGCTGAGCCAGAGGAAGCTTTTATTATTTTACATTGAGGAGCACTGGGGTGTAAAATAGCTTAATACCATATTAGGGTTGAGGTCCGTTTTTACATTATGATTTGATAATTGAAAAGATTCTAATTCATTTTTTTTTTTTTCGGAGGGATAAGCTTAAAAGCATGCCTGTGAAATCTTAAATATTAATGTTGCAAAAAGCCATATTGAAGGCCAATGACTGAAAGTTTCGGGAAGCAATCCTTAATATGCACTTAGATAATATGTACTCTACAATTTGTTGTAGAGTATTAAAACTTTGTTTAATTTCTAAAAAAGAAATGAATTTCAGCAAGCCTATGCCAATGTTCTCAGTGAATTGTCCTCTTTGTCAGTTGTGGAGTCTGACGCTACCCTTCTAATCTGCAAACTGTCACGGTGACTCCCTGTTCCACCCTTCTAGACTGTTTCGGGTCCATTCAGGTCCTGCACTCCCATACTACATTAAATTACGGGCTCAGTGGAGCATTGACTCATGATGCTGGATGTTTAACAGAATGCTGAGGATTACAATTTATTAACTTCCTTTTGAAGGGTGCTTATCCATGGCGTCTTTATAATGACAGTACATATAGGGAGCTGATTTCATTATATCCATCTGCATTGAAAGAGCATTGGCTGTAATGTTGTCAAAGCTTGCAAATTAAACAGATGAGAAAGCAACAATATATACAGAGCCACGTATTGTTGTACCAGGATGGAGCAGTAATGAAAGGTACAAACTCTCTTATGATGGCTGAGGATAATCTGAGCAAGCAATGAATACACTTAAGCAACAGACGGGTTTGGATTCTTTCATTGTGCTTGTCTTTTAAGCACTTTACTGTGCACTTTCTAGCTTAATCAGTACTTAGCCCCCGGGCAAAGTCTTGGATTGAATTTTTTTTTTTCATAAAAAAAAAAGTTATTGGATATCATCTAGATACTTGGAGCAGTGCCTGGTTTTTATATTTATAGCTTTAGAAGTCTTTTTACGTTGAGGTTAGAAATATGTAGAGCAGTTACATAAAGTACTTTCTTTTTTTCTGTCTTTAATGTGGCTCAAATACGGTTGCCACAAAAGGGGAATAGTTTAATGCTGTATGTCTAAAGTGGCAACGGTATTTGTGCCTTGAGCTTTTTAATATTTCACTATTACCTAGAGCAAAAAACATAAAAAATTTAATGAATGAGATGCACCTACTATGTAGGAATCAGTACAATCTGACCATACAATCGTTGGTTGGTATTAAGCAGTGGGGAGATAAATCCAGTACATGAGGACTACAACAGTATTAATGTAAATAAATAACTTTAAAAGATAACTATGGGGTAACCTTTTTATCCCATAGTTCTCTTTAGGGTCACCGGAGGACATATACTAACCTACTCCCGTGACCCAAAGCTCAGTATATAGCGAGCTACAGCTCGCTATGTACTGAGAACGTTGCAACCGGGATGGATCTCGACAATACTGTCAAGATCCACCCAGCTGGCTGATTGACAGCTGGCTCTGCCTATCTAGAGGCAGAGCCAGCTGTGCCCACCCCATCCCCAGTACGTTCCTCCAGTCAGCACTGGAGGAGCGGGGATGGGGGGAATCACTGCAGGGCGCGGTGACTGACAGCCACCGGTGTCTGCAGGGAGATAATCGGAGAGTGAGCGAGCGACGGTATGTGTTCGGTCGCTTTCCGATCAATAGAGCCGACGTGACAGTTTCCTAATAGTTCTCCTTTAAATACCTCTTCACTGCTCCTCGGCTGCTGCATGTATTCTACACTTCTGTGTGTGTGAACACCTGCTCCTCCTGCCGCGCACACAGGACGTACTTACCCGCAGGAGGCACCACGGCATGCGGTGGGGGGGAGCAGGTATTCGACTCACCCGGAAGGGTCAAATACTTGCAGCAGCCAGGAAGCAGTGAAGTGGCAGCATATATATAAAAACCGGACCACTGGAAAGGTAAATACAGAGGGGCTTCTTTTACAGAACTGGCCTTCTTAAATAAGTGATCCTGTGGTCACTTTAGGAGCCCCTGATGCGTTGAATCCCTCTGGTTTCTCAGTCTGCCACTTCCTAAAACAGATGTTAACAAAGCTGCTTGCTATATTTGCTACAGTCCAGAACATCAAAAGCAGCTTTACCCAAGTGTGAAGCTTAATATTAAAAGTCAAGGCAATCCGTTCCTGCCTCTCAGAGTTTACTAGACGTGGAGTTTGCAGGTGCCTAGCATATTTACGGTATGTGTTGTTCTAATATCTAGTGTTCTGAGGATTTTGCAGTAAACATTTTCTGGGGGGGAAATGATTATGTTGGTGCTGTAATGCAAGCCAAACTAAACTGTCAGTAGCTGCCCCATGCATCAGCAAAACATAGTCACATTACTATCTGTATTTAGCCATCAGTGATCAGATAGCAAAACACTACTATTAATACTTTATAGTCATATCACCATTTCACACACTGCCTATTTGGTACAGACTGACAGTGTTTTATGTGCTGAATGCTAGAATCCTTTACAGTTCTGACCTTGTTAGTAGCAAGCAGTCCCACACTAAAAGCATGCAGCTCCAAGATCATGTCACTACAAGAATCAACAACAACTTTATTATACTTTATTTGCAGATATAATGAACATTCAGGCCTGTTTTCATTTCAGATTTTGTCACGTATGTATTAGAAGGTCATAATGAGCTTGTAAAACTACTACTGACAAAGTTAATATGACCTAGTTTGTTTGGTTTTCCTTTTAATAATTTAGAGGCAAAGCTTGAAATATAAGTAGCCAACAAAGAAAAGTGGATGACTAACTGCAGTTCACAATGAATACAGTGGTTATTATGTTCCTGAGCCCCCTATAATTACCATTGTAAAGTCTGAATTGACGTGAATAAGAGATTATTAGAGCAGAGCTGTACAGATCAGCAGTTGTGTATCAAAGCTGGTCATGGGATGAACGTCTCTACTGGGCAAGCTAATGTCATCAGACTAGAAGGACAGGAACAGATTTATACAACGCGTCCAAAATGTAATGGGGCGTTCACCTAGTATGAAGCATTCATGCATATAACTATGGTAATTCAATTGTGCTGATCACTCTTCATATGTATAATATCATTATATCAAAGGCTAGTAGGTGCTGTAATTCCTACACATACTTCTGTTTATTAAATTAAAGAGCAGTGAACTATAGCAAGCAGTCTGCATCCATTTTCTGTTGTTCTGTAACTGATTAAAGGGGCATTCTTGTTGCTGGGGGTTACTGCACATCGTTGATCCTGCAGTGCCGTAATAATTCTAATAGTTAATACAAGTGGTGCTGCTCAGGTTCCCTCCAACTATATAAAAAAAGCATTTTCTTCAGTTTTATATTTGGCATAGATGCATTTATTATTTGTATTCTAACAAGGAGAAGCCTGCAGTGTTGGTGTATTAGCATATTATTTTTAGAAACCGAGTGTCTAGCGTGATCTTCCTGCCATTCTGTTGAGATCTAGAAAAAGAACAGGAGGTGTATGATCACAAGGCATTCAGCTCTGATGTTTCAGGATTAACTCTTACGGTACTGGGGATCTTGGCATGTATTCCCAGGCTGACTACTAGTCTTGATGGCTATCGCATGTCTATGCAGGGACAGTTCATTGTCAGTAGCCTTCAGTTTATTTTCTGCAATGCAAATTGTAAAATGTTTCTGTCTTTTACATTGTATGGCATAATGACAGTCATATTGGTTATTTACTGGGTGTGCTTCTAACAAAGGAATAGAACAATGGAACATTAATGTGCAATGACAAATGAAGGCCATCCCCAAGAGGGGCCCATCAGGCAGCCAAATCAGATTTGGTCATAAGTATCCATTCTAATAAAAAAAATTTCACCATGCACAGGTTTGGTACTTGGCAGGTACTTGTGTTAAAGGCCAATTGCAGCATTTTACTGATTCATAAATACCAGAGGAGAGCTGACAGCTCCAGATTTTCTACTATAGTATTTTCCTAAATATACATAAATCTTCTGCACATATAATTCTATACACTGGCAGATATCAACAGATTGGGTCTAACACCTGCCTAAATTGTACAGTAAAATTAATATTTGTTTTTCTTTTTATTATTAGTGATACTTGGTAGAATAGTACATAAAAAATAAGTTTTTAGTAATTGTATATGTCCTCTTGTATGTTTTTCTAGATCTGATGTGGTTGTGCTGTGCTTCTCAATCGCAAATCCCAACTCCCTAAATCATGTAAAAACCATGTGGGCTCAGGAGATAAAGCATTTCTGTCCTCGCACCCCTGTCATACTGGTTGGCTGCCAGCTGGACCTGCGATACGCCGATCTTGAAGCAGTTAATAGGGCAAGACGACCACTGGCCAGGTAAGTGCTTCAACTATTAATCCTATCCATTGTCAATGCCTGTCTTAAGCCTACACTGTACATGGGCAGCTGAACACCTTTTCATGATTTCTGAGAGGGAACAGATGACTGGTAACTACTTGAATTAAAATTAAAGTAGGACTTGAGTAAAAAACAAATGTTTTCCTTCGATAGATTGGGGAAGGTTTCCATTGAGGATAATATTTCCACTGGGTAATATTTTCTGACCTTCCTCAGTCAATCTTGCACTGATTCATTAAACATTATTCCGCTCAAACAGTTGAAAAACCTATATTAAAACTGGTTTAGTTGCCGAATATTTGAAAAGGACATGCAAACACATGGATCTTGATACTCTCCCACCATTGTTCTGATGTCATATGAAGAATGGAAACAATTTTTATTTAGAGTCTTGAATTTTAGGACTTTTTAAGCAAAGTGAATGAAGTTTTGTTATTTCCTTAGTTAGTTATTAAGATATTATATCTGAATTAAGTATATTCAACGTAATATTTGTTTGATTGCAGACCTATAAAAAGGGTGGACATCTTGCCACCAGAAAAAGGACGAGAAGTTGCGAAGGAACTTGGTATTCCATATTATGAAACCAGTGTTTTTGATCAGTTTGGGATAAAGGATGTTTTTGACAATGCAATTAGAGCAGCTTTGATCTCCAGAAGACATCTCCAGTTTTGGAAGTCTCATCTAAAAAGAGTTCAGAAACCTTTTCTTCAAGCGCCATTTCTTCCCCCCAAATCACCGCCACCAGTTATTAAAATCCCTGAAACCAGTGAGTCTACCATGAATGATGCTGGAGATTTGCTGGACAACCCATTGTGTGCAGATATTATGTTTGTCCTTCGGGACCAAAAACAGATCTTCGCTCATAAAATTTACCTTGCTACCTCCTCCTCAAAATTTTATGACCTTTTTTTAATGGAATACGAACAGTCCCAGAATTCTGCTGACCGACACTGCAAGAAAGAAAAGCCTACCAAGGACTTGCTAATGCGGACATTAAGTCTTGATACAGATGAGGACACAGATGGGGCTTCCTTGAAACCTTCAAATGCCTGTCTTCGGATATCAAGAAGTGATGATACCTTACTCACTACAGACTGTGAAGGAGAAAGTTGTGTTGCACTGTCAACATGGAGCAAAGGCTTTCTCAGCATGCATCAAGAATCGATGGTCAATCCAATTTCAAACAGGACTTGTCCAATGACTGTGGTCCGAATGGACTCTTCTATACAGTATGGGCCTTTTAAGACTGTGCTACGGTTTCTGTACACAGGACAGTTAGATGAAAATGAGAAAGGTTTGATGCGAGTGGCACAAATTGCAGAAATCCTGGAAGTATTTGACTTGAGGATGATGGTAGAAAACATTACAAACAAAGAAGCCTTTATGAACCAGGAGATCACAAAAGCATTCCACGTCAGAAAAGCAAATCGAATCAAGGAATGTCTTTCCAAGGCAACCTTTTCTGGTGAGCAAATTGCCTTTTGATTACAGCTCTTTTCAGCTAAATCATCTATCGAGCACCTCAATCTGAATTAGAATTGCAAATTTTGCACCTTCACACAGTCACATTTATAGCTTTGCAACAGCATCATTGACCTCTTCCCACCTCAAAACCTTATTGGTCAAATGCTTTGCCTGTAGCTATGTATTCTTTATCTTGAAGCTGCAGTCTTCTTTGCTTTATAAGTGTGTTTTCATTATCTTTTCAAAGGTCATACTATCTTTTTTTCCTCCCATGCAACTCATTAACTTTTAAAAAGGAGAATGTCATTTTGAAACATTCTACACATACTGATTGAGGGACAACAGTATATGGGTTATATTGTTTGTTGATGCTTTCAGGTATAGGTTCCCTGAATAGGAAGTTAATACAGTTGATGATTCAGCTGACAATATAAATCTGCAGTTTTGTTCTCAAGATCAAATGTGCAGATCCTGTAGGAGAAGGGCCCACACAGTGCTCTGCACTTTGTTTTGGGGTCACCAGTTTTCCATATATACAATAAATATAGTGCATTAGGATCATTCCTTTTGGAGTTGCTCTAGAACAATGTAAAGTCACTGTTATGGATCCACAGTCTTTAAAAGAGAGCTAAGGGGTAAGTGTTTTTCCCTATAGTTCTCTTAGGGGTCACAGGAGGACATATACTAGCGTCCTCCCGTGACCCAAAGCTCAGTATATCGTGAGCTACAGCTCGCGGTATACTGAGACCGCCGCACCCGCGATGGATCCCGACATTACTGTCGATCCACCCAGCTGCGTGAGTGACAGCGGGCTCTGCCTATCTAGAGGCAGAGTCAGCTGTACCCTCCCCCGTCCATTCCTCCAGTCAGCAGTGGAGGATCGGAGAGGGGGAATCCCTTCAGGGAGCCGTGACTGCCAGTCACGGCTCTCTGCAGGGAAATGATCGAGAAGTAAGCGAGCGACGGTATGTGTTCGCTCACTTCCCAATCTATTGAGCCGAAGTGTGACAGTTTCATTGTCACACTTCGGCTCCAACCATGAGCATGAGTGATTTTCGCTCACCTCATAGTCCTCCTTTAATGGCTCTGGGCATTCCAACTTGAGCTCTGGTGCTTTACACTTCTGTGATTTCAAAAGAGTTCCCAATATTTTCCAGGATGTATTGCAAATAACAAGGCAATGATCTCTATTGGACTTCTATTGCTTGTGTAGAGTGTGACAGTCATATGCTGGCTAGTAGCATAACTACAGAAGCTGTCTAACATATATGAAGTCCTTCTGATCTACCGTGATAGCGGAACACATCTGAAACTGGAAGCTTCTGCAAATCATCCCTGTGCTGATACAGGAGATGTAATGATGGCATTAGGATATAATGTGTAATGACTTAATAGCACACAATGTGCAATTATGTCATCACGATAATGGTGCATATTTCTTACACCAGGACTTGTATCCTTTGTTGTCCTTTTTCCCATTTCCCACCCTTTAGCTGTTTTTCATCCTTCAAATATAAAAACAATTGTTTTAAGTGTAATAGATTTACCATGATAATGCTGTATATCAAACAAAAAGAGGGAGGGGACATTTTTCAACAGCACTAAAGACACTTTAGAACACACACACGGAGTGACCTTGATTTCATATTTATTTTCCAGATGTGACTTTTAAATTGGACGATGGAAGCATGAGTGCCCATAAGCCACTTTTAATCTGCAGCTGTGAATGGATGTCTGCAATGTTCGGAGGTTCATTTGTAGAAAGTGCAAATAATGAGGTATGTGACAATCTATATTTTTAGCCCCTGTGCAGCATAGTTTGTTTCTTGCTTTGTATTATGCTCATTATTAAAGCCTTTAATGATCTTTGTGAGCTCGCTTGTTTCAGCAGTTTGCATTTACTGGTCAGACTAAGAATTACTTTGGCATATGTTGAAGCAAGGACAAATTTCATAATAAGCAAAGTATGGTATTGCCTATTGCGGTTCCCACCTGTCCATTAGTAGTAGAGGCTTTCGCCAAACATTCTTGCAAAGATAACATAAAATGCTATATTGTGTGAAGTGCAAAGTCATACATTTGATTTATAATATACAAAATCTCTGCCAAAAAGGATATTCTAACGTCAGAGGGACGGTTATCATTGGTTGGCTGCTTGCATTTGCTTGTGTAGCTGATTTCTTTGCATGTGTTCATGTTTACAGGTCATACTTCCTAATGTAAGCAAATCATCAATGCAAGCCGTCTTAGACTATCTGTATACGAAGCAGCTGTCATGCACACCAGAGATGGATCCACTGGAGCTGATTGCATTGGCCAACAGAATCTGCCTTCCACATTTGGTCGCACTTACAGGTAGGAACGCATTGATATGTTAATGTTAAGGCTTTACTGCATTATGAGCACATCACATTACCACTTAACTATTCACACTGCAAGTCCGTCTTCATTAATATATAAGCCTGAATATAGATACTAAATGGAAAAAGGACATTATGACTGCTAAATGACTATTTGAATAAATGATTGTTCCATGAGAATGCATGCACCAGTCCATCTAGAACGAAGACAATCCAGCCCAGCCAAATTCTAATTCTCAAATGTTAGGGCCTACTGTTTCCCCATGACGATTATCATCCCCATGGCCAAAATTGGCCTGCTTAATTGGTTATCATTTTGTGCTCGTGGGCACTCGGAAAAGGAAAAGTTAACATCTCGTTAAAGGTACATTAGTTTCAGTTGAAGTGCTTTCAAATGTTGTGTTGACAATACATAGGATGAGATGGTCAGACAGTACAAACAGTGGTAGTGCAGCTGTGCCACAAAACAAGAAGGAAAACCGTTTTTGAGACCTTATGAGACCTCAGGAGGGTTATAGGAAGTCTGTTTATGGTTATTTCCATTGATGGCATGATTCTGGTATAGTACTGCTAATGGAAAATTGTATGCACTTAATAGTCAATTGCATTTTAAATAAGGGTGGGGGGGCAAGGTCATCCAATGGGTTAGATTCTTTATTTCCAAACAATCACCTATATGTGGCCATTTTTACACTTTCTCCCCAAGACATTTGAGATTGTGAGCAGGGCACGGAAGTCATATACTTTATAACTATTGCTTAACACATTTTATATAAGCACAGCAGAAGTATTCTTTGCATCCGGTGAAAACATTTGCAGTTTTTCTCAACACCAGCTTAGTGGAACTATCTACATTATCCACAGTGATTTCTGAAATGCTTGCGTTCACACAGAGAATCTGCAATGACAGCAAGCAAATATCATTTATTTTCCACTCGGCAGAATGGATACATCCAAAGCCTGTACAACCCTAAGAAAATTAGATTGTATTAAGGTTCCACTATAGTTTCAATATTGTAAATAAATAAGGTTACAAATACGAATTACACATGCAATCATTTCACTGCTACTTTTATAGTTTCAAATTGTTATAAAGTTGGAGTTACATTTGAACACATTGCAATATTCTGCTAAACTTTAAGGTCGGTCTGCATGTAGATTATTAATAGATTGTGCATCCTGTGTATTTTTTTCTTACATTGGCAAAGTGTTGTATTATTTATAGTGGCTGTCATACAGCGTAAAATGTGCTTTGTCCTACAGAACAGCATTCTGTGCAAGAGCTGACCAAAGCTGCAATGAATGGGCTGGATATTGATTATGAAGTGCTGACTTATCTGGAATTGGCTCAGGTCAGTATTATGGCAGTGTTCCATCAGGCACACTGCATATTACTTTATAAGCACTAGGGGCAACCTGGCGGCAGGAGGAGAGCAGATGTAAATGTATTTAGTAGGGATTATTTTGGCTGAAGATCAGACCGCCATGGAATTGTGTGAATCAGATAAGACACACAGAGATATTTTCAATGGCATGCTGACAGTCTTCCTGAAGACAAAATAAGCAGTTTTCATAATAATAATGTCCGCCAATGTTACACAATAGTAACTCGGGACAGAATATGCAATTCTTGTTAATGTTAAGGTTAGTTTCGCCAGGTGCAGGGGGTGATTCTGACTGCTGTGCTAAGCTGAGAATAATATTTAGGGTATATAGAGGCAGGTATGTTTTTTCCAATGCCCATTAGCCTTAAAGAACCCAATTTGCCACTGTCAACAAATAGCAGGCACCTTCTGGAACCTACACATCAGGGTCGTTTTTCAGTTCAGCACCTTGAATGCCTGAAATCCTGGTGAACACTGTTATACCCATTCCTGGCTTAAATGGCCATGTCAGCAACTTACAAAATTGCAAGTAATAGCAGAGGAAAAAAAATCAGTGTTATAAATTCTTACTTGCAGCCTTTTTCTTTTCCATACATGATTCTTTATTTACCTGCAATGTGCCTTTGAACTTGCTAGGAAGTTCAGCCAGTTCAGTAAAAAGCATGTCATAGCCCTATCCTGCTCACTGAGTGTCTAACTGCTGCTTTTACTGCCCCAGCTCCTCTGGTCATCACCTCCCTACACCTTTTTATGTTTCTGCTGGGTAGAATACTATAGTGTAGAGGTAGGCAACATTGGCAGTCCAGGTGTTGTGGAACTACAATTTCCATGACTCATTGCAAAGCTCTGACAGCCACAGGCATGGCTCCCAGAGGAGGAGTCATGATGAGATTTGAAGTTTCACCACAACTGGAGTCCCGAGGTTGCCTACCACTGATCTAGAGTGACTGACAACTCTGTGGCTGCTGACATCATATCCAAGATTGCAGAACTCAGCAGAAGTCTCAGGGCTTTTGGACATGTACACAAGGGAGGGTTTTACAGGTAAATAACCTGAATATAATATGTTAAATGCACATATAATCTTATGCAAGATTATTATTGAATGGTCTGGAGACTGTGAGCTTGGTCCGGTCCAGTCTGACCTTTTTAAGCCTCACTGTTTGCCAATTACTTTGACTCACTAGCCAATCATGATTTTTAGAAGCTAGGGGAGGGCAGGGACCCCTAGATGGTGTCTGCTATGTGCTGACAGTGGCAGATTAGGCACTTTGTTTGCATATCAGGTTCACATTAAACTGTTCACTGGTGGACACTCTACAGCATTTACTTTATGGTAATCCGAGGCACCAGAATAAAATCTAAAAGTACATCTGACACAAGTTAAGTACAGTATCCTGGACCCATGGTTAACATAAAGTATTTAAAAATAACAATGGGTTTTGTGAGAACTATTAAAGATCACTGTTATTTCTTTATAATGTATAAATGTATGCAGTAATGACAGTATGCATAAATATGTAAGGAAAGCGTGAGATAAACTGAAAAACTTAAAAGCTGTTACCCCACTGTGCTGAGTCTGACCAATTGTGTTCAAAATAAAGTCACAATAATGTCAAATATAATTGTGTTAATTATTGGGCTTTGTAATAACTATGCTGAATATTTGACTTCCAGTTTCACAATGCACATCAGTTGGCTGCCTGGTGCCTGCACCACATCTGCACGAATTATAATAGCGTTTGCTCCAAGTTCCGCAAAGAAATCAAAGCAAAATCTGCTGGTGGGTAAACCTAATGCTTTTGATTCAAACCTGCTACTTTCATTCGTTGTAGGTAGTCTTTTTATGACTAATATTCATGAGAATGGGCTGTATTGTAACCTGATAAGCTTGAATTATTTAATGCATTCTCTGTAGTTGCCACTTATTATGTTAATCCTATTCTGTCTTCACAAAGTAATGAAACATTCTAGATGTTAAGCAAAGCTATTAAACTCGGTAAGATAGCGAGCATATCAAATCTGCTTGTGTGAAGGGGTTAAGGAAATATAATTTTGGCTAATATGGTTACTTACTAACATAGTGGTCCTCATGTTGAAAAACTGGAGAAAAGAATAGTAACGTTGTGGCCTATAGCATCTATTTAGATTACAGTGCAGGGCAGAAAATGAAAGCATGCAATTACCACCATCACTCATTGGGGGGTGAATTTATCAAAACTGGAGCAGTTGCCCATACTAACCAATCAGTGTCTCTCTTTAGTATGTTCAGTTAAGCTTTAAAAATGATAGAGAGAAGCTGATTGGTTACCATGGGCAGCTGCTCCAGAGACTGTCTATTGTCCTTTGTCCTTCCTTCGCAGATTCCTTGTTTACATTTAAAATGATATATGTGCATGTCAGATAGAGTCCTAGTATGTTATAACTCAGCAGATTAGGCAGTTTTTTTACATGACCTTGCAATAATTGTCACATTTTGTAACTAATATATCACTTATGAATGATTGATAATAAATTGGTAATGGTATCATATCACGCAGGTGGATTTAAAAGCCTGATTGAACAAAGACCACGCCTGCCAATGTATATGATGGCCATGATACTACCACTTGTTTTGTTGTGTGCCATAACTAGCCATTTCCTGGAAGGCATGTTTTTTCACACTTGGCTGTACTCGATTTTGTGAGGTTTATACTATGGAAAGCTTAGTGCTAATCCAGAACCCATCTAGAGGGACAGCCACAGAATAATTAGTGATTTGCTGTAGTTTGTGTTGGCTTAAGCCATCGTTGCTACCTGGTGACCTAGAGGTTCATTAATCTGCCTATGACAATCCTAAAGCTAAATCATTATTATACCTGCCCCATTTTCCACTTCAACCAGGCTAACATATTAGACCTGCTTACAGTAAACCTTTTATTCTTGTACAGTGGTAATTCTGAGCCGATTGGTTTAACAATCAAACTACCTGCAATTGGTCAGGTGACCTAGTTATACACTGGAGTTGTTTTGCGTGGATGGCCTACAGCCTGGTGGAGAACAAAATGTTATAGTTTATGGAAACTTTAAAGTTAAAATCCAGGCAAATATTAAAACACAATTTAGTAAAGTTCTGTGTTCATTCAAAAAAAATATTAAATGTATTTTTAAATCTTAACTCTTATAAGTACCTCGATATGTCTTGATAGCTAGGGCTTCTGTAGTTCTTTACTCAGAAAAACTCTGAAGGGAAGGGCAGGTAGGAGCCAGATGACTTATCAATGTGTTGCTGCTCATTTGTTGTCTAATCAGCAAGCAGCGGGTGGAATACCACTGTACTTCCTATACTACTACTTCCTCAAAGCAGACCTTTGCACTCAAAAATCAAATTCTACCAATGCATCCCTCTATGTATGATGATTAATATTACCATAGACATGTCAGGTGTAAAACGCTGTGATTTTGAAATACTTACACTTGCAAAGCATTTACTTCCTGCTTTAAAGGGGCAAAATGACTTCAGCTTGCCAAAGCAATGCACACTGGGATTACCTTGTCATCAGCAGATCATTGCTGGGAAATCTCATCTGTAATCAGGAGATCTCAGGGAAAGGCATTTTCCTCCCCTGTGATGATGTGCATGGTTACATGTCCTAGTCACATATCTAGTCATGCGTGCCAGAGTTTCAGGAAGTAAAAAGAGAGCTAGTAATCTGCCCTTAGTAAACATGGCCACGGTCAGAAGACTGGGGAAGAAAAGAAAAATGAGGTATGCAAAGAATACAAAGCCGGCAATTATCTGGAAGTATGTGTTTGTAGAATGTCATTACTAAACATTTCTAAGGGTGTGTTTGTTGTTATTTTAAAGATATGGGTAAAGGCCCACTTTAACTGTAATAGAAAGCAGTGTCACCATTTTGGGTATGCTATCTGTTCAGCCAGTTTTGTGATTTAGACACCGTTGCCAAATTCTTTAGCTAATTAGGCAGTTCATGTAAATGCATTTCAACTCTGTATTCCTAGATTGGTCTGTTGTTTGGCTTTAAGACATTTTTCCTGTTGTAAAATTGTTTTATTTCTTTTTTCCAGAAAATCAGGAATATTTTGAAAGACAGCGATGGCCACCAGTTTGGTACCTGAAAGAAGAAGACCACTACCAGCGAGTAAAGAAGGAAAGGGAGAAGGAAGACAGTGTCCTTAATAAACACCGGTCAAAACGCAAGTGGTGCTTCTGGAGCAACTCCTCAGCGGCCTTTGCCTAAGCAATGACTTCATTGCAGACTTGAAAAACACATGTGTATGAATATTGTCTTAATGTTCAAACAAGCTGTACAGTAGTTACCTTTTTGAAGCACTGATTTCAATCCACGTGTGTGCATTTAATGTTTTTATAAGATCAAAGCACAATTCACTTCAAGCAGGTCAAAAAGCTTGTTACCTTCAGCTGGAAGTGGGTCCACACAGACCCCATGTGTCACTGAAAATGTTTAAGGCATAGATAGGCATTAAAAAAAAAATGACACTAAATACAGGGATCTCTAATTGTGGAGCAAATAAGCCAATACAAGGACAAGTGCTTATGCATTATATTGCTATATTGCAGAGCGCAAGCTCCATCTGTTCTCTGCTCGTACTGTGTTCCTAAAAGTTGGGATCAAAGTTGTGTAGTATACAGGATAGTGTCTCACGTTAACCTCTGTCTAGGACAATCATGTTCAAAGCTGTATGTACTTATGTTACTGCTTAAAACCCAGCTCTTGAAAATCAAAGAGAATCTTCACATTCAGGTATTTTTGAAATTAATAATTAGCCTGCATGTTCTTTGTGATCAGCAGTTATAGCAATGCAAAAGTTGCCTGTGCCGCTTATAAAAGGTGATCTGGCAGTTCTTTAGAGGAAGGTCACCTCATGACTGGCTAAACGAAGGCTCAAGGTAAATGTGATATGCGGGGCTTACAGACCTAAAAAGCTGACCTGATTGAGTATAATGGGCATTGCCCAGCTTGTAGTCTGTAGCCTGGCTTTACCATTGAGCGCGCCCTGAGTGGCCTGTCGCCTGTGTTACCATTACATAGCAATGTACTCTGCTTGAAGTTTTATTTTTTTTAAGCAAGCATTGCTTAGGAATTCTCAAGGAGCTGGCAAAAAAGGCACGATTTTTTTTTTTCTGCTCACTAAGAATATCAAATCAAAAATTCTGTGTCTTTATCTGTAAAAAATAGATGAAAGAAATAGTTACGTGTTAAGAATAGAGAAGAAATCCCAACAAACAAGTAATAATTTTGTGTTTTCTGTATCACCAAAATTGAAACTATTAAGATGTAGGATGTGGACACTACAACCCAGCAGTGACCTGGTTTCCATCTTCACTGGAAACTTTTTTTTTTTCTTTTTATACTGTCTTACTTTGAATATATCAACATTCATGTTATGTGATATGCCTACGTTAGACTGGAAGGGCTCTATTCACAGGGATATTCAGGGCAACATATATACCCTATTCACAGACAAAATGTGTTACTAACCTAAGTACTTATCTACTTCATGTAGTTATCATGCATTTATTAGCAGTGATCTTCCACCATCAGTGCAGAGAAGTGATGATTTAAAGTGAACCTGGCCAGACTTTTTCCTGAAGCTCTGTGTGCTATATGCTGTGATGTTAAATACGGAATTATTATTTTTTTCTTCTGTTGTTTTTT